GGTGAGTGACGGTGAGAGTGGCTCGGGCACGTCCGCTCCCTGCACCCTGGTGGTCCGTGGGACCCTCCAGGCCAGAATCCTGGAGGGGGAGCCAGGATCTCCAGGGACCTTCCCAACCGAGGGATCGAAGCCAGGTCTCCCGCACCCCAGGTCTGAGGCACCAGGGAAGGACTATGCCGAGGACAGGAATTCCAAGTTATTGATAACAAACACATGGGAGATTATAAGGCAATTCTCTGTAAAAATTTTAATAAGATCATTTTGAAAAATACAGTAGTGAGGAAAATGCCAGTGACATTTAACGCAGCAGGTCCAGCTCAGAAAGAGACGGGCAGAGGCCGAGCTGTGTGACAGGGTCTGTAACACACGGGAACCCTGCGTCCATCGTCACAGCTTCCTGCTGACGGCATGATGGAGTCGAAGGACAGACGCCTCGGACCCTGGACGGACAGACGGCTCACTTCAGGTGACAGTGGGCACAGGCTGGGGGGAGGGGGGCGCACTGACGCCGCTGGGCCGCCCGCCCACTGCGCAGGGCAGCGTCTCCGCAGCCTGTCTCTCCACGAGGCTCAGGCGCTGACGTGGGCACGGCAGAGACAGCGGACCAGAGACAGGCTGAGAATGTGGGTCACGCCGTTAGGTTAGAGGGAGCCCAGCTCCGGATGACGCCGCCGGGAGGCCAGTGGATGCCTCACCGCTCTCCACCTGAACCTCAGCATCGGCCGGGTGCTGGCCCCATGTCTCAGCAGGGAGCACGGGCGGCTGCAGAAACCTTCATGCAGTTCAGTCGCTCAGTCGTGTCCGACTAGTGCAACCCCACGGACTGCAGCACGCCAGGCCTCCCTGTCCATCACCAACTCCCGGAGTTACTCAGACTCATGTCCATTGAGTCAGTGATGGCATCCAATCATCTCATCCTCTGTCAGCCCCTTCTGCTCCTATCTTCAATCCGTCCCAGCATCGAGGTTTTTCGAAATGAATCAGCACTTCGCATCAGGTGTACAAAGCACTGGAGCTTCAGCTTCAGCATCAGTCCTTCCAATGAACACTCAGGACTGATTTCCTTTGGGATGCACTGGTTGAAACCTTAGCTGCCTCTTTTTCTCCAGTACCAGGGGCAGGATGGAAAGTCATCTGGCGTCCATCCATGACGTGGTCTGAATGCCTCCTTCTCCTGAACAGGAACTGTCTGCTCATCGCTGACCCCTGGGGGCAACTGAACATGCTCAGTGAGTGTGGACGGTCAAGCACTTCAACAGGCGTCTGACCACAGACCTTCCAATGCAGACACAGTGGCTTGGGGACAGACTTCTCCCGGTCAGGTTCCACGGCCCTCCCCTCATCTGCTGGTTTCTGGAGGGCTCAGGTTCGGGGGTCTCTGAGGCCTGCTCCCCCTCCCTGCGGCTGCTGTAACCTCTGCTTCGCTCTGTTCTCAGGAGCAGGGCCACTGTGCAGAGGAGACAGGGAAGGTCCGCTCATCCTTCCAGGCCTGGAGCAGACAGCGCTCTCCCCGAGGGCCTGGACGGGGTGGGCAGAGGGCGGACCCAGAGAGCAGGCAGCCAGTGCTCCCCACCGGCGAGACCACCGAGAGCGAGCGCCCGCCTCCGATGGCAGCTGCAGCTCCGAGAAGGCGCAGGACACGAGACCACACGGGCACACAAACACACACACACAGGCGGTCTCCATCAGCCCTTTATTTGTGGACCTTCGCCAAGGTCACTGGGGTTTCAGCTCTTCCAGACATTGGGAACAGTGGTGAGGAGCACTGGGGCGCCTCCAGCACCCTGTCACGGCGAGCAGAAGCGGCCGCAGAACAGGATGGCCCCGGTCTTGCCGTGCTGGATGAAGAAGAGGAAGGGCCGGTCTGCACAGAACTGGGGCACGATCCGCAGGCAGAGCATCATGACCACGGCCCCCGCAGCGGCCGCGGCCTCCGTGCCCTCCTCGGTGACCTCCACGAAGGACTTGTGCACGACCCTGGACAGGTGCAGGCCTCGCCCGGATGACACCCCGGTGAAGTCAGCGCAGGATGCATCGAAGGCATCGATCATGCCCAGGTCTCGGAGGATGCCCTCCATGTCGTAACTCTCCTCCAGAGTGAACCGGGGCAGGAATACTTCCACCTCCTCCTCGGCCAGCACGTCCGGCTTCGTCCAGGCGAAGAATCTCTCGTAGGTCAGGGCCTTCTCCACCTGCAGAAGAAGGTAGAAGATCTCAGGGTCTGCAGGAGCTCTGCCCTGGGGACAATCCACTATGACCCACACTCTGCGCCCTGTGGGCCCGGGACGGCCTGCCGGCTGCACACGAGTTCTCGAAGCCCGGTGACCGGCAGGGATCCAGACGAGACCCCGGGTCCCGGGGCCAAGGATGTCTGGTTACCGAGTTCAAGTCAGTGCTTTCACTGGGCAGCAGGATGACCATGTTCAGCTCTTGGCCAACATAGGGAAGCACCAGAATCTGGGTGCTTATCTCTCCGATGTAGGTCATTTTAAAGGTGGACTTCTTGAACATCATTTGCACAGGTTTCTCCACGTTCTATAAAGGAAATGGATAAACCTTAAGTGGAAACGAGACCCGAGGACACTCTGGACGAGTCATCAGAGCCGGCCACCTGAGCACACACTCTGTCTTGTCTTCCAGATCCACCCCAGCTCCGTGTCATCAGCTATCTGCACGGCTCCAGCTCCCACCCCGGGTTCCCAGCGCTCAGGCCTCAGGCTTCTGTTCTCCTGCTGACCCAGGAGGGCTCTGCACGGACATTCCCAGCAGGACCTCTCCCCGGCTCCTGCCTACCTGACATCTGCATCTGGACGCAAAGGAGCCGCCATGTCGCCTCCCACACTGGCTGCTCGTGTTTCCCCCCACACCTGCTCCATCTATACTTTCCCATCTCTGCTCATGGCGACACCACTCATCCCACAGTCAAGCCCTGGAGTGTCCTGGGCCCCTGTCCCTCCCACCCCACAGCTCACCCATGAACAAACCATGTTGGCTCTATTTTAAAGACAACAGGGGTTCTCTTTGGCTCAGGGGTAAATAATCCGCCTTCCAATGCAGGAGACACAGGCTCCATCCCTGGTCTGGGAAGACCCCGCAGCCCACGGGCTTCTAAGCCCTCAGGCCACAGCTACTGAGCCTGGGCTGAGAGCCCGGGACCGCGGCTCCTGAGGTCACGGGCCTGGAGCGAGAGCTCAGCCCCAAGAGAAGCGCCAGCAGGAGGAGCCCAGCACGGAGCCCAGAGGGCTTCCGCCACGGCAGCTGCAGGAGAGGCTGCGGCCAGGGGACCCGGCACGGCCGCAAATAAACACATGCAATTAATGAAAAATACAATACAGTCTGACTTGTGCTTCCTACCCCACCATGCTCAGCCCAGCCTGGGTCATCGGGAAAACTTCCAAGTAACCTCCCTGGTCCTGCACCCGGGCCCGAGGGGCTCTGGGAGATCAGAGCCCCTGTGAGAGGCCCCAGGCTCTGCGAGAGCTCAGAGGACGGACACAGGAGCCAGGAACCCGGGCTGGGGAGACCGCTAGGGAGGCTTCGGGACAGCCCTGCAGAGAAAGGCGTCTGTGCTGGTAACTGCTGACGGGATGGGGCAGACGGTAGGATCCAGGCCACGGAGCTTCATAGCCACGGTCTCGAGTTTGACGTGGATCTCGGGAGTTCTAGGAGGCCCAGAGACCTGCGAGCTGCTCTGGGGGATGTGAGATACAAGACAGAACACCCGCGGCACGGACCCCCCGATGATACAGCAGAGCAGGAGCGGGGGGAGGAAGCCAGGGTTTGCCCGGATCCACCTCTGGGCCGCCACGGCCACGAGAGGCACGGTTTCTTGAGGTCAGCCTGCCCCCAAGGACTGTTTCCAGGAACCTCCTTCACTTTATGAAACATTCTTGTTCACCTTGCTGACGTAGAATGGCCTCTCCACGGTGTGCTGTTTGTTAAATTGTTCAGCCCAGTCTCCTTTGAAGTAGATGGCATTCACGAGAACCAGACGAGTCATGGGGTCAACTGAATTTGCAGCGAGTAAGTCTCTAATTTTACCTGCAAAGCAGAATTAAAGAGCCAGTGAGTGAGCAGGGTTTCCTGGGGGAGGTGCTGGGCACAGTATTTACTGGCCCGTCCCCTGGAGGAGTCAGGCACTGACCAGAGGGTTCAGTGTCCCCCAGACAACCATGGACAGCGAGCTGTCTGCTCACTCATTAAGCTGTGTGAGACACTCTGTGACCCCATGGGCTGCAGCCCACCAGGCTCCTGTGTCCATCGGATTCCCTGGGCAAGAACTGGACCAGATGGCTATTTCCTTGTCCAGGGCATCTTTCTGACCCAGGGATCAAACACTCCTCTCCTGCATTGGCAGGTGGATTCTTTACCATCGGACCCACCAGGGAAACCCGTACAGGCAGCCTGGCCCCTAAAGCAAAATCAGCGACTGAAACCTTAAAATCTCTGCTCACAAAGATATCATTAGTTGCATAAAACACATACAACGAAGAAATCATAAGGGCAGGATAATTCACAGTGACAGAAAAAGGAATGTTCAGGCTACAACATGAGGGGACTGTCCTGAATGGGAGAGGTCGAAGCCCATGTGGGAGCACGAGAATGAAGAACCACAGGTGGACCGGGGCTTGACCGAGTCTCCTGCAGTGATGCTCAGCGACCCGCAGAGCATGAGGTCCGCTGGACAGGCAGGGAGGTGGAGCCCGCATCCAGAGTTTCCCTTCCGCCCTTTGTGAAAAGGCAGACTATATGAACACTTACTGCATGAGCAAAAAAATCAAAGTGTGTTTGCTCTGGAAGAGGTGCACCAAATACTGATGAGGAGGGGGGAAAGCTAGAGAAATTGATTCCTGATTATATTTCAGGAGTGCATTTTGAAAGTTACAGTTATTCATAGAAAAAAGCCATTCCTGTTTACATTTGCTGGTCTTGGGAAGGAACTGATGGGTAATGAGACTGATTCAAATACTACGCAATCAGAAGTACAGGCATGCCCTCACCTTCTGTCTTCTCGGCTACCCAGGTGTTTATGTGCTTCCTGGATTCCTCCGTAGCGCTGACAAAGTCCAGCTCTTCCATCTCTGCTTGGTAGAATATGCGGCAGGCATCTTTGAAAGACTAGGAGAGACGGAGTGACAGAATCACATGGCTACAGAAACAGACCACGCCAACAGCTCACTTTTTCATGGTGCCAAACCTCAGCACTGATCATTTGAAGGTTCCTTGTGGAATGTACAAATGAATGTGAGAGATTAACCTTCAATCTGGTTTCTCAGTTTTCAGCTAACTTGAATAAATGACAGTAAAATCACAGGCTTCCCAGGTGGCACAGTGGTAAAGAATCTGCCTGCCAATGTTGGAGACGAGGGCTTGATCTCTGCATGGGGAAGATCCCCTGGAGAAGGAAATGGCAACCCACTCCAGTATTCTTGCCTGGACAATCCCATGGGCAGAGGAGCCTGGTGGCCTCAGTCCATGGGGTCGCAAAGAGTCAGACACAACTTAACGACTTCACAACAACCAAACCATTCGAGAGAGGCCATGTGGCAACAGTGCCGGCAGCACAGGTTCCGGGCTTCACCCCTGTGTGACCCTGGGAAGGCTGCTGCGTCTCTCTGGCTTCTTTGCCCCCTGGCAGCACGGACGCAGCAGTAGCTACGTCTCAGAGGTGCTCTGAGGACCAGGAGAGCCTGGCTCTGTCCGTGTCACGTGGCTGAGCTCTCCGCTCACCGTGGACCCTCTATCTCGTGGTCCAGGTGCCTCATTTCATAGAACGCTCACATCATTCAGGCTCTGCCAGCCTACTGCTCCACTTCTTCATCGGGGCTTTGGAAAAAGATGGCAGTCTCTCAGTCTAAGGAAATAGTCAGGAAGCAAAGTGGTCACCAGCAAGTCGATACCTCATCAGACCCTTGGTGATTTCAAGAGCTTTAAAGCACATCTGAAAAGAAGTGCCCGCTCCTTAAATTACTGTTTAGTAAGTAATGACCAGTCAAAACACAAACTAAAGGAATATCTAATTATACATTGCGATTAGTATTAGATTATTGGAATCCTCGATCACTATGAAATAACTGAGAAATATTTATAATCTTTTGATTTTACATTCCATATCATAATAACATTTTAAATATCAAATAATTTTCTTCAAATATCCACTGGAAAAGGAAGGAAGTTAAGGAAAATTAGCCAATTTTTTCTGTTTATCAGAAATTTTGCTTTTCTGTATATCTAACGCTTATACAAAGATTACAATAACAGGAGAAAGAAATGGTAACGCACTCCAGTATTCTCGCCTGGAAAACTCCATGGACAGAGGAGCCTGGCAGGCTGCGTCCACGGGGTTACATGCCTGAGCATGAGTGCATGATGGTGGAGGGAGATGGGTTGGTAACAATAAACTGGTAGAACTAAAAAAAAAAAAAAAAAAAAGAAGTGACACTAAACTATCATGTAGCTAAGACTGATAAAAACAAGTAAACCAGGTTTTAAAATAAATTCACACCATGCTGCACAAACCTTACAAATATTTGACCTCATGCTGACGACATTCACTTTACACCACCTGTTTTAAAACAGTTAATTTAGATCTGAAACAAGTGTGAAAAATAATGAAAAAAAATCACATAACAGAACAAGATCACTATCCTAAATATACAAAGAACTCATTAAAAAAAAAGACATAAAGCCCAAAAGTAAAAATACACAAAGGATATATAAACAGGCAATTTTCAGAAAAGGTACAAACGCTTGATCGACATGAAAAGCTGCTCAGTCTGACGAACAATCAGAATGTTAAAGGCTCAGCACCCGCAGCGCTGAGGGAGGGTGGACGTGCGCACCTGCTACCCTTCCCGAGGACGACGGGAAGGGCTGCAGCCGTCGGGCCGGGAATGAGGCAGAATTCACTGAGATCTGAGAGCCTCCCTCTGTCCCTTCCTTCTAAAGTCCGTCTGGAGTAGCAGGCACGCACAGGACAGAACCACACACACATGGTCCCTGCTGGCTCGGCCCGGGCTGGGCCCCACCCCACACCCACCCGGGGGCTGGCGGCTGCGTCTCAGTACAGCCACCCTGAGGTCACTGCCCACCACCGTGGGAAAGGGTGAGGCGGACACACGCTGTTGGTGAGGCTGAAGCTCCCACACTGGCCACCTGATGCCAAGAGCCGACTCACTGGAAAAGACCCTGATGCTGGGAAAGATGAAGGCAAAAGGAGACGGGGACGACAGAGGACGAGATGGTTGGGTGGCATCACCGACTCAATGGACGTGAGTCTGAGCAAACTCTGGGACACCGTAGAGGACAGAGGAGCCTGGCCTGCTGAGGTCCACGGGGTCAGAAAGAGTCGGACACGGCTCAGCGACAGAACAGCAACAGACACACATGTCGTGAGATGCAGAGACTTCCTCTATGCACAGGGGACAAGACCTTATACTGGGAGTGGGGGCCAGGGCGTGGAAGAGAGTGTGGCAGGATTCTGGCTTTGTCTGCATTTTTATATAATAAGGACACTCACAGATTACTTGAGCTGTTTATTAAAAAACTTTAAAAATCATGAAAGCACTGTAATTAAATAGAACCAGAGTAAAAAAGAAAAAAGTTTAAAAAAAAATTCTGCATAGGAAAAGATAATCAAAATATTTACATGTATAAAAATGCTGAACAAGTCTCACAATGCACAAAAATCTTCTAACATGTGAAAAACAACATCAGAAATATTCTATTTGATCACTTCTTTGTTTGGGCCAACTCATCTGCAACTGTGGTATGATCCGTGTTAGTTCACTGACAATCATCTCATCGAGGCTTCACGAACATGTGAACAATGCTGCCACAGGGCTCCACTTACAGGCAATGACCAATCGGTTCCAGAAGCGTGAGGTTGTGGCTTGGGTCCCACACCCCGCCCACCGTGTGGGTCTCAGCTCATAGGGCCTCAGCTGCACCACAAGGCCCAGCTCCCGCGTCCACCTGACCTCGGTCTCTATCTGATTTGGAAAACGGGAGTATGACTTACCGAGAGGAAATCGTAAGTCTTCTCTCCAAAGAGCCTGTTGGCGGTTCTGAGCAAGTACTGTGTGCCGGGCCTGTTAACTTCACTGAGAAGGTTCTGAAAACCCTGGTGGACATCTTCACCTCCGCCACTGCTTGTGCTTAGAGAGAGTGTCTGAAATCAAAAACACATAAAACCCACAACTGCAGGATGCCGTGACTACAGGAAACAGATAGAACATTGAAGTCAGCCTAGGAACCGCACTGATCCTCCCTGCAGCTTAAAGCAAGACTCATCCAAATAAAGGCACAAGGCCTCTGGGAGCCCCCCAGCCTGCCTCCCGGGGGGGTCAGACGGCGACGGCGGGCAGAGGAATGCCCCTCGGCAAGCCCAGTGCCCTGCGCTCGTGGTCTGCCTGCAGACAGGGCCGGCAGACAGGCCTCCCGTCTCTGCACAAACAGGCCACGGCTTCGGGTCTGGACTGGCCTCGGGACGGGCTCCGACCGGTGGACACAGGAGAAGTGGCTCTTCTGGGCCCGGGTCTTCATAAAGGCCTGGCAACTCCACGTTCGCTGTCTTTCCCCCTGTTGCCAGGGTGCAGAAACGCCGAGCCATCCTGCTGGGGCCTCGTGACAATGCGGGAGAGCGGTCACACAGAGGAGAGCTCCTCGCGGGATCGGGGCCGCTCCTGTATCACGAGGAGCCCAGCGGGCACCGTGCGGCCAGGACGCAGAGTCTGAGGCCCGGTCCCGGTCTTTCCTGGTCGTGGGTGGTTGACGGGGTCACAGAGAGAAGGTCCAGACAGCTGAGGCCAGAGGGCCGGGGGGCACCACTGCTGGAGGAGAGGAGCTCGGGCGGGAGCCCTGGAGAGACGCCCGTCCAGGGCGGGAAGTCCGGCCCTCCCCTCGGAATCGGAACCTGCACAGGAGGTTCCCAGAGAGACGGCAGCCCCTTCAGAGCCTGGGAGAGCGGGAGGGGAGTCAGTGACGAGCTCCAGAGGGGACTGCTCCCTTTCAGGGAGAACTTAAAGGGAACACGTGCGTCTCCTGGTGGCTCAGGGTAAAGGATCCACCTGCTGGTGCAGGAGACTCAAGACTCGCGGGTTCGATCCCTGGGCCGGGAAGATCCCCTGGAGGAGGACATGCCAACCCACGCCAGTGTTCTCTCTGGAGAATCCCATGGACAGAGGCGCCTGGAGGGCTAGAGTCCACGGGTCACAAAGCGCCGGACACGACTGAGCGTGAGCACCCCGTATTTGCATCCTAACACTTGCTGGGTGCACAGTGCAAATGCTTCTCACTCCCAGCCTCTCCAGCTGGCAGAGGACCCTGAAAGTGATGGCCTTAGGGCAGAGGTGAAACTCAAGGCCCAGGCTCAAGGAGGGAGATCAAGACTCTGGGAAACCTGGAGACCCTCTGGACCCCAGGCCCTGGGAGGGTTAAGGGCACCCCCATGAGGGAGGGCTGTGACCCCCACGGGGACAGAGGTCAGCGCCCCACCTGCACTGTGGCCCAGGAGCTGACGTCCACACCCTGTGCAGCCCGCCCGGGGCTGGCTCCGGGCTTCTCGGCAGGACGGGCCTCGGCCAGCAGGGCCTTGGGCAGCGGGTCCGAGCAGAGGCTCGATGAATGCTTGCTCATTCAAGCCTGTCCTGCTGGAATCGGGTGCTGCGCAGTCAGGAGCCCCAGGCCACCAGCCAGACAGACACTGGACGACAAGCCCAGGGACGAGGCAGATGGGGAGCAAGGCCTGTCTGTCGAGCAAGTCCTCTGGGATTCGGACCGCAGACACCGGCTCACCAGCCAAAGAAACAGCGTCTGTCGCCACCCAGAACCGGCTTCCCGAACGTACCTGGGACATCTGGGCTGCAGTGTTGCCCCTGGCCCCCATGAGGATCATGGCCAGGGCAGAGGATATGCTTAGCGGCGAGAAAAACACATTTTTCGAGTTGTCTTCACCCAGCTTTTTCAGAAGGGTCAAGGCAAAGGTGCTGTTTGCTTCTGACAGAGCATCCATGATGGCGAGTCTGAAAGGATGGATTTAAAACCAGTGTCACGTAAATTCAGGCCACAGGTCGACCGCGTTTCATCTGCTCTGACTGTTGTGAGCGCTGATGCTCTGCTTCAACGAGCAAACAGGTACACGCACAAAACTCGGTGTCCTCGGGGTTTCCCCTGCTGACCGTGCCCAGGCCCTGTCACCCGGCTCGGGACAAGGGCCTTGGGAGGTGCCCACATCCACCTGCAGGTCCCGGCCTCGGAGGTCACAGCCCCGTCACGGAGGACGACCGGTCCAGAACAGGACACTGTGCGGTTGGGCGGGGGTGAGCGAGCATTCAGGGCCTTTCTGTGTGTGGTGGGAAGGGATGAGAGCTGAGAGACCCCAGCTCTTCACCAGAAAGCCGCGTCCGTGATAGTCACCGACCTGGGAAAAGAGAGCAGGTGAGCCTGAGGAAAGGGCCCCAAGCCGCAGGGCGTGCAGGCTGGCAGCCCCGCTCCGGGCCCTGCGCCAGCTCCCTGCATGAGGACGGGGACGCACCAGGTAATCTGTGCTCCTGGTGGGGTGCAGGGCAGCTCACCCCAATACACTCCACTGTAGCACAGTGATTGCCCTGAATTAAGGAGACTTCAGAAACAGCTGTTGCAAAAACATCTCTGCCCTTCTTCTGTTCCCCCTGAAAGCTGAAAATAAATCTCCATGTGCAAACACCCTCCCTGTACCAGGAGGTAGAGAGACATCTTTACATCCAAAGAGGGGAACGCAAGGCTGAAAAGGCTGACAAGAAACCAGCAAACCCTGTTACTTCCCGAAACTGATACCCAAGCAAAAACCCCCTTGATTTGTCAAATCTTCACACACATACCGCCAGCCTTGTCCCTTCTTGAGTCTTGCATCTTTGAGGTTCCCATACGCACAAAGTTCAGTGGGGTTGGTTTTCTGCCATTGATTTGTCTTAGGTCAATTGAATCACTAGACCAGCCAGGAAGATCGTAGAGGAGAGGAAACACTCGCCCCACACACACTGTCTTCCATCTTTAAATCCAATTTGTTGGTTAATAGCTAAGTCGTGTCCAACTCTATTGTGACTCCATGACCTACAGCCTACCTCTCCCCTCATTCCATGGATTTGCAGGTGGGTTCTTTACCACTAGTGCCACTAGGGAAGCCCCCATGGTGGCTTAAAGGTGCCTTAACTCCCCATAGATCTGGTTTCCTGGAGACGTGGCTCCTGTGTTGTCCTCACTTGGTCTGTGTGTGTGTGTGTGTGTATACTGTGTGTATGTGTGTGCGTGTGTATGTGTGTGCATGTGTATGTGTGTGTGCACGTGTTTGTGTGTATTTATGTGTGCATGTGTGTATGTTTGTGTGTGTGTATGGGTGTGTGTGTATGTGTGCATGTGTGTGTGTGTGTATGTTTATCGGTGAGTGTATGTGTGTATGTATATATGTATGTGTGTGTATGTGTGTATGTCTATGTGTATGTCTGTGTGTGTATGTGTGCATGTGTGTGTATGTGTGTGTATGCGTGTGTGTATGTATGTGTGCGTGTATGTGTGTTTATGTGTGTGTATGGGTGTGTGTGTATGTGTGCATGTGTGTGTATGTGTATGTGTGTGTGTATGTTTATCGGTGAGTGTGTGTATGTATGTATATATGTATGCGTGTGTATGTGTGTATGTCTATGTGTATATGTGTGCCTGTGTGTGCATGTGTGTGTGTATGTGTGCATGTGTGTGTATGTGTATGTGTGTGTGTATGTTTATCGGTGAGTGTGTGTATGTATGTATATATGTATGTGTGTGTGTGTGTGTCTGTGTGCCTATGTGTGCATGTGTGTGTGTATGTGTGCATGTGTGTGTGTATGTTTATCGGTGAGTGTGTGTATGTATGTATATATGTATGTGTGTGTGTGTGTGTATGTCTATGTGTATGTCTGTATGTGTGTGTGTGTGTGTGTATGCGTGTGTATGTGTGTGTGATCTAATGTGTCATCGGAATGGTTCCTTCTACTCTATAGGTTTACTGAGGGGATTACATCGCCTGACGCCTGGCCCACAGTCGGTGTTCAATAAATGGTGAATAGCACTGCACACGGTTTTCCTTCTTCTGATGTCCAGGTCTCGTCTCAGGCCCAGAAAGCTTGGCGGTATGAGGTGTGTGGCCTTCCCGGGGGTCTGACGACAAGCCCTTTGTGTGATGCAGCCTGCTCTTAGTGCAAACAGAAAAGAACAGTGGTTCCATTTACTCTCATTTCGCTCTTGCTACTGGCTGGAGTTATCAGGCCAGAAACGGAGTTGTAATACAACACTTTGGACTGGAATTGGCCTCACGTGGTTCTAAATACTTAGTTTACATGGCCAAGTAGGACTAAAACCGTGACCTTTCTCTGGGGTGGTATAACGCGGAGGGTGCAGTTAGTCACCAGTTGTGGGGAGTCCTGGACACGCCACGCCCCAGAACACTGATAACCACAGCCCTTCCTGTTCACAGGGACCTCAATCCAAGGGTTACTTTGCACACGCCCTCTCCGCCTCGGTCCTACAGCACACCAGCGGGCAAGCACACAGCGTGGCAGGTACCTTTGGGCCGGAAGCCAAGGTGCCAGCAGGACCCGGCCTCCCCCAGCAGCTCATTAGTCCTGGCAGCACGTGAAGGTTCATTTCCCATACTTTTTTCTTTCCCTCAGACTAGGGCTTTATGGGGGAGGGGGGGGGTGAGGAGAGAAGGGAGGAAAGTAACTCAAGTGCCAACTTATCTAGTACCCAGGTGCGACTAAAGTTTCTCCCAGGCCCTCTTAGTCCTGATCATGCCTACTCTCCGACTATTTCGCCGGCAGCTCCTCTAATGAAAATAAAAACAGCCGTAACAAGCTCTGAAATGGTCTTCATGATTATCCTCGCAGGCCTGAGGGACCCTGAGCGCAGGCCAAGCGGTGGGCGGGAGACCGCTGGGCGCCGGGTCCGCCTGGGCGCTCAGGCCGGCTCCTGTCTGGCTTCCGGCCTCCACCCCGGTCCCCCCGGTCCCCAACGCCCGGCGCCCGCCCAGGGTCACCTGGAGAGCGGGGCCCGGGGAGGCTGGGCGCCGCCCCCATGCGGGTCTTCCGGTCCCCCTGTCCCGGCCGGCGGAGCCGCCACATTCACCGCGTCTTCACCCCCGCAGCGGCCGCCTGATCC